ACAGAACGCTCCCAGGGAGCGCTCACAGGGAGCGCTCACTGGGCGCTGCCAGTGAGCTCCCAGGAAACGCGCCCAGAGCGCTGCCAGGGCGCTTCCACGGCGTTCCCAGGCAGCGCTCCCAGTGCGCTCCAGCGCTCTCAGGGCCGCCACAGGGAGCGCTCCCAGAGCGCTCCAAATGCGCCCTGGGCGCGCCCTATGGCTCACTGAAGGGCGCTCCCAAAGCAACCCGACGAGCGCCCCCAGTGTGACCCCAGCGCCTCCCGCAGCGCGATCCCAATGCACCTCAGGGAGCGCTCCCAGTACGCCCCCAGCGCCTCCCCCAGCGCGATCCAAATGCGCTCCAGGGGGCGCACCCCCAGAAAGCTCGCAGGGAGCGTGCCCAGTGCGCCCCCAAGGGTAGAATGGCACGCGCCTTCCCCTCCCACTGTTGCGCCCTCCCTCACTCCCCGCCCAATTGGGCCGTTGGTTGCGTTTCTCCGCACGGTTGCGCCCCCCCCCCACTGGCGCTCCCGCGCGGTTGCAGTTGCGCCCCCCCCCCCCCCCCCCCCCCGCAACTGCTCCCTGGGTACCAGAGTCCCCTCCTCGTCAACAACAACAACAACAACAACAACAACAACAACAACAACAACAACAACAACAACAACAACAACAACAACAACAATTACTAGCACGTGGGGACACTCCGTTCTCACCAGTGCCAGGGTTTTCATAGGAGGCGGGCAATACCCCCACTTTGTGGGGGGGCCGGTTCAAGCTCTACCAAATTTCCAAACGACTCTTCGCCACCACCCACACCCAGCTTCCCGCCCTATGACGTTCGGACACTTCACTTCGTGGCATGCGGACGACCGTGGCTACTATTCAGGGCCCCGCGGCCGACGACGACGGCGTGCGCGCGCGAAGAAAAAACGAATGTGTCCCGCATGGTATTATTTGACAGGGATGATGGCCCTGGCAGGTGCGCAACCGTTGTTGCAGAAGTTCGAAAAAGTTGCTCGCAAAAGCCCGTTTGACAGAAATGTTTAAAAAGTGTTGGGTTTCCTACGAATCCGCAAGAGCGCGCGGGATGAAATGTTGACATGTTTTTTTGAAAAACCATTGGTTGTTTGATGTTTTTATGTTAAAATCGTTACGAAAACTAAGGTTTTGGAAGGATTTTGTCTTGCGCGCGCGAATGTCCACTTTACCTTATTTGTTGCAAGGGATTCTTGAAGTTTGGATATGTTAGAACAAGAAATGTCCACTTTAGCTTATTTTTTGCAAGGGAAAACCGATCGTAACAACACAACCGGATCTGGATGACATCGTTTTGACTGAGACTTCCTCACGAAAATGATGAAAACGTGGCTGCGGCCTAGGCGCGGCGGGGGGGTCGCGCACCAGGGGTCCCAACAATAATTATTCTTAAAAAGAAATAATGTTCAACAACAACAACAACACCAACAACAACAACAACACCAACAACAACAACATCAGCAGCAGCAACAACAACAACAACAGCAACACCAACAACAACAACAACAACAGCAGCAGCAGCAACAACAACAACAACAACAACAACAATAACAACAACAGCAGCAACAACAACAGCACAAACAACAACAACAACAGCAACAACAACAACAAGAACAACAACAGCAGCAACACCAACAACAACAACAACACCAATGACAATAACCAACAACAACAACAACCAACAACAACCATAACAATAACAACAACAACAACAACATCAACAACAACCACCACAACAACAACAACAACAATCACAACAGCAGCAGCAGAGGCAGCCGCAGCAACAGCAGTCACAACAACAACAGCAGCATAATAGCAGCAACAACAACCACAACAACAACACCAACTACAACAACGACAACAACGACAACTACCACAACTACATCAACTACACCAACAACAACCACAACAACGATAACAACAACAGCAACAACAGTGACGACGACAACGACAACGCTAACGACGACGACAATGACGACAACGACAACGACGGACGACGACGTCGTAGGAGCAAGTGGGAAGGAGGGGTAATGAAACGCTGCCCCCGCCAATTCCCTACCGGCAAACGGGAGCGACGACCGATGACATCGTCGTATTCGTCGTCGTCCGTCGTCGTCGTCGTCGTCGTCGTCGTCGTCGTCGTCCGTCGTTGTCGTTTTGCCGCCTTGCTCGTGGGGGGACGGAAAGGGGGGAGTCGCAATCGCTCGGACGTCCTTTCCCCGTGCATGTTCCGGCGCCGTGCGTGCATTTTGTTCGCAAGATGACCCAAAATGCTCCTCGATAGTGCTCGCCGAGAAAAATCCACACGTCCGAGCAATGCCAAGAGAAAGGAGGTGAGCTTGAGAGGCGAGTGGCCCGAGGGGCCAGGCAAGGGCAGCAGGCTTGCGGGAGGGCAGTGTGAGGCCTGGAAGGTCCTGTTGTCAACCTGCAGCGGCTGGTGGTCAGAATGCCGCTGCACCCCTTGGTTGCCTTGACCATGAACACCCTGGGGGGGGAATTCAGGCTGGTCCCTAAAGAACTCGAATGAGTCACGGCACCCTCAAACCCCACGCTTCATTCGTCGCACTTGCTTGTACCAACAGAGCGCCACGTCTGGGTCATGGAAAGAGGGATCGCAAAGGGATTCCCAAAGCCTTAAAAAATATGACCAGTTGCTATGTCTTCGTCGGCACCCATGGTCAATCTCAGCAACCATCTGGGCGAAAGTGGTGTAACAGTTCTTTCCGATCCTCATCCGAAACCCGTTCTTCCCCTTTCCGGGGATGAGGCTATCAGAGCTCGACATTAATATACACCCACCCACCCACCCACTCTACTGGCCCCTAGTTACCAATGCCCATACGGTCCATCCACCCCTCCACGAACCCTGCCAGGAACAAAACAACATGCACGTCGCGGAACAATGCGCACCATGTTCGGGCGCACCGCGATACCGCTCCACTGCTTCTGGGAAGGGACGGAGGGGGGGGCGGCTGTTCTAGTACTGCATGGTGCGCGCAGGCACACCATCCTCATTACAAACACATCAGATGAGCGCGTTCCACTAGTCGCAAAGTCACTACTCGCAAATGGCCTGGATCCCCCGCGGGGGATCTACGATAACTTACATGAAAGCAGACATGTGTTTTTCGGACGTTTGCGAGTAGGCACTTTGCGAGTAGTGGAACGCGCTCGGCGACACATGCACAAAGCACGCGGCGGTAGAATCTTGGACCGTGCGCGGGCGCCCCGGCATCACTGCGCACTGCTGCTTGACACGGGGCACACGGAGGGCAGGGCACGCGCGGCGCAACGCTCGGGCGCCGCGTACCCGGCCGGCGCCTGCAGTGGTTTGTCAGTGGCGGTCCCTGCAAGTGCCGAGACTCGAGTGCTGCTCATGCGCGGGGAGGGTGGCTGGGAGTGGTCGAGACAGCTTGCGGCATGTGGGTAACTTGACACCTCCCCCTCCCCCCTCCCGTGAGGTTCCAGGGGGCACGGCGTGGCAGGCGGACTTCTTGGGCCCAGGATGAATCCAATATGCCCCCCGGCGCCCTAAGATGGCCACGAGAGGACAGCTCAAGGCAGCAAGAGGTGGACCTTGATAGCCCCTGGAATGTCCCCGAGAGGCCCCAAGACGGCCTCGGGGCAGCTCCAAGTGCCCTCGGGCCCCCCCCACCCAGGACCCCACCCCAAAAGGCGCCAACATCGCCAACCCTGCGGGAATCAACGGAGCGACGAAAAGAAATAGGTCTCACGCGAGATGGCATAGCACCATTACGCGGTGGCTTACGCGGGCCGCTAGCGCGGCACGCTATATTGGAGACGAGGGCGCTCGCGCGCGACCTTACGCGAGCAGCTTACGCGCGACTGTCGGCACAGTTGAACCCGTAAATTTCGTCGCTCAACTGGTGCTGCCTTCTCGTCCTGTCGCCTCCGGTGGGCCTGCGACCTTGGGATGGCCCGAGATGGCCACAGAGAGCCCTATCAGAAGACCAGGACGGACCCGAGGCGACCCAGGAGGCCCCCAGGATGCGCCTAGGAGGGCCGCAGAAGGGAACCTCATTCGGCCGCCGCCGACATGAAGGGAGGGAATCCTCCTCCTCCTCCTCCTCCTCCTCCTCCTCCTCCTCCTCCTTTTGACGTTGCGCAAACTTAGGGCAGCAGCCTGGAGCATTACTGGATGAACGGTAAAAAAAGAAAGCCGACTTAGCGGAGCGAGAAACAGATTAGGCCTGGCTGGCGCTGCCGAGCAGGAAATGCAAAAAGAACAGCAAAAGGAAAGGGCCCCCAACGGCTCAGAGTGCGCGCCAGCCAGGCGGTGTGAGGGGAGGAGGGACCGATCGACAACCAGCCCGAGTAGAAACCTCCTCCTCCTCCTCCGCCTCGCTCGCTCTCTGTCTTTTTGTTTTTTTCTCTCTCTCTCTCTCTCTGTCTACGCGCTCTTCCTCGCCGGGGGGGGGAAGCCGAGGGCCCCCGACCATCATAGCAGCCATGGGGCCCCAGGTCGCCTCAAGAGCCCCCCAGAGTCCCAAGAGGGCCCCTGGACGCCGCAGAACACCCCAGTAGCCTCAAGGAGGCCACGAACCAGTCCCAAGGGGACCCCTCGAGGGCCCCGAGAAGACCGCCGAATGACCCCACGAGCCCTCCAAGAGGCGATCACAACGAAAGATCTGGCAAGGCCTCGTCCTCGTCCGCCTTCTCCTCCTCTCCAACTCCTTATTATCATCCTCATCATCGTCCTCCTCCTGCTCATTATCCCTCCTCCTTCTCGTCATCCGCCTCCTCCTAGTCCGCTTCCCCCTCCTGATCCTTTTCCCCCTCGTCCTCCTCATCCTCCTCATCCCTTCTTCCTCCTCCTTCCTCCTCTCAAGCAATTTGGGCTCGAGCACCAAGTCCCTCGCCCCCGTGCGCAGGGCCCGTGCTTAAGCCTCTCCTGCACTTCCGCGCAGTGCTTGGGGGATTTCGCTGGCTGCTGGCCCCACAACAGTCGGCGTCAACGAAGACAAGAGACACTTAGTTTCTTTCTTCCTCACGAGATGGGAGGAACATCCAAGTTTCCTTGGAGCAGACGCATTCATTGCAAGACGTGCGAATACAACAGCAAGTTGGTGGCCAACAATCAGAAGTGCTTGTCGCGTGGGAAGCAAGTGAAGTTGTTCAACCATCTCGTCAGCGAGATCCGTCTCAGGAGCGACGGGTGTCTTTCGACGAAGCAATTGAGCACAGCAGCGACGGCACGAACGATCAAGGTACCCATGGCCAGGGCGCTCGCAATCGCAGCCCAGGCCGCCGCCGGGGCCAGAACGATCAGGCCACCAAGAACCTCGACAGTTTGCTGGCGAAGGCGGTCGAGGTCAGTGACGACCCCGAGCTCCGAGCCGCTCTGGCAATTCAACGTTAGGTGGACTCAGTGAAGCGCGCCGATGGCGCTTGGAAGCAGGCCAGCCATCGGCACGAGCAGCTGGTGAGCCAGGTGCTTCGGCTGCGGCGCCAGCTCCAGGCCGCCGAGGCTAAGGAGCAGGACGCGGCCTTGGCTCTCGCCAGAGCCGGGGCAGCGAAGAAGAGTGCTACGCGCGCTCTTGCTCAGGCGGAGGGCATCAGCAAGACGGCAGCTGAGACTCAGGGCAAGGGCGTGCACTTCAGCGCGCACATGAACCCAGAGGTTTTCGAGAAGTTCGAGGAGTGGGAGCGCGAGGGGGCCGAAAAGGTCACCTTGCGCAACTTGAAGAAGGAGCTGCAGACCACGCAGGGGTCGTTTGCCGCGAAGGACTCCGAGCTGCAGAAGTTCATGCAGAAGCTCGACGCCGTCAAGGCGGACGTCGAGGAGTGCATAGGCAAGAAGAGGAAGACAGATGAGGGCCAGGCCGCGGCGAGCCAGCCCCAGGAGGGCACGGCTGGCAAGCCTCCGACGGGGGCTGCGGCTGCGGGGGCCAGCACCGCCAGCGCCGCGGCCTCCTCGGCGACGGACGAGGAGCTCAAGCAGGAGGCCACGCGGCTCTCAGAGGCCAAGTTCGCGTCGGCGGCGGCGCAGGCGGCACCCGACCTCAAATCCAAGGGCAGCGGCAAGGGCGCTGCGGCGGCTGCGGCCGGCGCTGGCGACGTCGCCAGGGATGAGTGACTATCGGAGGCGGATCTCGGCAACAGCGGTGCCGCTGCGAGCTCAGACGCCACTGGCATGGCACCCACAACCAGCGCAACTTCGGCCATTTCGCGCGAGCTGAACGCCACCACTGTCACTGAGGGCACCGGCAGCACGGCAGCCGAAGAGTTCTTCTCTGCGTCTGCTTCACAATGGAGCCAGGCCCAAGTCTCGCTACGCCGCAAGTGACCAGCAGCACTCGAATGAAGGTGGTGAATGGCTACTTGGACGCAATCATAAGCCAGCTCGCATGCTCGACGCCGCTTTCACGCGCAACAAATTTCAGGCAGAGCGAGGAGGAGTTCTAGATGGGTTCCTCCCCTGCCTTCTGGACATGAAGGGCTTCACGCTCGCTGCGTCCATCTACTACGGTTTCTCCAGCACGAGGTTCACCAACGCGAACGTGAACCGTTTCGCCAAGCTGGGGAGCGTGCTGACGACCATCTATTTGCCCTGGCTGGTGATGGCCGACTGGAACATGTCCCCCGCCGTCCTCGAGGTCGGAGTTTCTGATGCGAGCCGGCGGCTCTGTCTGGCTGCTCGATGCCGATTTTACCTGCACGACAAGCGGCAAGCAAAACCCGTCTCACATTGATTATGTGGTCGCACTCGTCCGCACTTGCGATCCGTCTCAGCAGTTGTCGACGCCCCTTGGAAGCGCCATATAGGCCTCAGTGTAAAGATTGCGGCTTCAGGCAGCCAGATGCTCACGCGCGCGCCCTCGCTGCCCAAACAGTTGCCTTGTGTAGGCCGGCCGTCCAAGCAGCCAATCCCAGGGTCCAAGTCTAGCAAGGCTAAGACTCAGCGTAGGATTGCACGTCAGGCAGCTAATGGGCGCAGGGATTGCAAGGTGCGCGAGTGGTTTAGTGAGCAGCTCGAGTTGTGCAGTAGCAAAAAGCATGAGCAGTCAACATGTTGTAATTCTGATCCCCCTCGTAGAGTAGGCAGCGAGGCGGAAACAGACTTCGGCGGTGAGGACCCTGACTCCGACGGCAGCGAGGAGCACCCGTGGATCCACGAGGCCAACTTCGGACTGGCCGCCCCGACCGCCCCTGCCTCTCCAGTGGAAGATCCGCCTCAGTCAAATTCAGTCCAGCGTGGGAACCCAACCCCGCGCACCGCCCCTGTCGAGTCAGGTTCTGCACCACCAGCGGAGAGTTCAGGGCCCCCCGTTTCTCCCGAACTTGTAACTTTTCTGATGCCTGAACAGCTGTGGACAGAACAAGGGAAAGCTGTAGGGTTTATCCCCGCTGCTGCCCACCCCCCTGCCACTGCTGTTGCCTCCTCTGTTGCCTTTAGGCCCTGCTCAAGCGATTCGGGCCTCGCGTCAGCCATGTTCGCAGCCTGGTCTCGGGCGGCAGAAGCTA